ATTCAGTTCGCTTACGCACTCTACCAACAGTGTCGCTTTGCGCGGTAATTTGCCACAAAGGTGGACGCCGAGTTTGCTAAAAAATTATTGATAACTGACAAAGGATTTCCGAGAAGCTGGTAGTTGAGCCTACAGTTACGTGGCTTAAAATTTTATCTACTTTTCAAAATTTCCTCTGTTTTGCTTTCCGTGAGTGGTTCGAGTGATAGCAAATGCCAGCAGGAATAATCTGCTATCAAGGCTCTCGATGGTTCCCTCTTTCGAATGTTGCTTAAAGCAAGCTGATGACAGATTTGGGGATTGCCGACATGATGGCCATCTGGCGAAGCAGCACTGGTCAGAGCAACTTCAGAAGTTGCCAGCTGCATAGCTGGGGGAGCGGGATTATGAATTAAGGACTATTCAAGTAACTGAAGATGACCAAAGGATTGATATGTAATGAATGATCGGATCATTGCAATAACGTACAATTCTAGAAAGCGCGGACCATTCCCCACAACGAATGATAGACTATGGGGTTTGAGACGCAATGCTTTTGTCATGATGTACGGTTCGGCACAGAATACGATGTGCGTCGGCTGCTTTGGGACTTTATTTCCCTCACTTCCCGCATTTTCAGGACTGTCTTCCGGCTTGAGTGGCAGCGACATTATTTTGAAGCTGCCTTGTTTAAAAAAAAATTAGTGAAAATGATCTAAGAACAAATTTTTTTCATTTATATCTTGCCGATGACAAACAAAAATTTGCATGCTGCCACTTGTAACATATGTAGTAAGATACAAGCATTCGTTGCACTTTGTGATGGTCAGTGATCAAAGCGAAGTAGGATGTTTGATAAACTGAAACAGGAACAATTCGGGAGGGACAGCTGGATCACAGCAACCGGTGCATGTCCAAATAATCTGAGCCATGGGATACTGTATATTTCGGTATGTACCGTACTTTTTGAAGAGCAAGTTCATATCGTTTCGATAAATTTTTGCTTAAAATTGGAACTAATTGGAGTGATGTTATTCTTGTGTGTTTTGTTAGTTTCTTTGTTTGTTTGTTCGTTTGTTTGTTTGTGTGTTTGTGTTTGTATATGTTTGAGTGAGTGTGTAAGTACATCTCTATGAACGTCTGTGTGCAAGTCTGTGTGTGTGTGTCTGCGCGTATGTGTGTGTGTGTGTGTGAACGTGTGTGTACATAACTGCAGTGCAGTACACTGTGGATAATGCTGCACTGCATAATAATTACAGATAAAAATTTTCAGCATTACCTAGCGGCAGTTTATTAATGCATTTACTAATTCTGTGTAATTTAGAGTTACGTTTGCTATTGTCGCGCATGAATGAATGATACTAGTGAGGAGGTTAATAACCATTCGAGCGGTTTCCAATGATACGTCGCACATAAGTCGAACAAGCGGTAAGTACCAACTAGAGATATGCGATTAAGACCGAAAGACCTGATATCACCAAACTGGGTACCCCACACCGACTGTCTGGTCGGTCAGATGATTTACTGTTGCAGTGTTATGCTCCATGGTGATTTTAAGATTTCATCAAAGTTTCCAATATACAGTAAATTTAACACTTGTATCTCATCTCAACTATTACTGTACAACACTTTCAATTATAAACAAATCACAGTAAAAAAAAAAAAAAAACATAAATTCCACGATGTGAATTTCGCTGTTACACTTACGCAGCGACTGACACAGCTAATTCTTGCGAGAAGATAAACAGTGCTAACTGATCACCACATCCAAGCGAAAACGAGAACTTCAGATTCCCAGGGAAGTGCGCCTTGCTGTTACATAAACTCACTTAGCAGGATAAATTTCTTACCGTAGAAAAGCGTAGCCGCACGCTTCATCTGATATGAAAGACTAGTTGCTTGATTTGTGTAAAACGGTGGAAACAGCTGAGCTAGTGTTTCGAAATGAATGTCAGGATCGCCAACAAACTGACCACTGGCGCAAC